CCCCAAAAATATTTAAAAAAGATCAGATTCATTATTATTGGTCAAAAATAATAAACTTGCTAGCCACTTTCTCTCTGGAATAGTGGATGTACTTAAACAGTATTTCAAGCAAACAGCTTTCATCTAAAAGATAATATTTTTCTCAAAGTTAATAGTTTTCATTGTTTTGCAGACTTCTACTTCAGATTTTAGGCAAAGTAATTTTTTCCCCATTGTTTTAATAATAATCAATCTTTTAAAATTTATTAGTTCTGCAATTCTACCAACCTGTGCAACTCCTCGGTTTTGTCTTCAGTAGGGCCCGTGGTTAATAAGCAGTGTCGAAGGATGGCAGCCATGTAACGAAATTGATGAGATTCATTCTATATAAATATAAATTATGAAGATATTTTTTCATTTTGAAGATTGCAAGTGGGGGTTTCAGGTCACTAGAATAATAAAAATTAAAGATGGAAAATACCTATTAGATCATAACATCCATCCCTATCAATAAAAGGATCGTACCTTAGAGTCTACTGAATGCTTAATGCAATGTGGCTGTCAGATGCTGGCCCTTTAACTCGGCCTTGGAAAACTCGCTGGGACTTTTTTCCAGTTAAATGAGTCTTCACTACTAGAAAACCCTGTTACAAGCATTTACTCAATTCCATACCACTACTCCTAATGCCACCACTACGCTCCTTCCTGTATTTACAGTCAGACACCTCTTCATCCATTTAGATTACAAATGTTCTTTATTTAATTTGCCACTTCCTCATTTAGACTTTTTGCTGCCAACAGTTTCATTCCCCCACCCAGTCTTGCTTCTAATTCACTTGCATCTGCTCCCTTAATATCTTTTCTCCATTTTGTTAATAACTTTCCTACTCTCATCAACTTCATTTGCCCTACTTTTGCTCTCTGCAAGCAATTCCCCCTTCCAGTCTCCCACCAGACAGCAGCCACACAAAGTACACCAGTAACAGCAATCATTTAACTGTGTGTACCATTGTCCTCGTCCTTTTTCACTAGCTGTTCTTGGCATCCATCATATGTTCTGGTGTGTTTGACCAAGCACAATGCACCCAATGCATCTTTTGTAACATCAGCATCCAAATCTGCCAGCTATACCACCTGCAGCTCCCGTCTGGCTTTGCTACTGTGAAAGCATCTCCAGACATTAAATACTGGTGTTTCAAATAGTTCCCTCCCCTTTAGGGTGAATCTCATTTTCATTTAGTTTTCTACCCATGTGCCTAACCTCTCCGCTCTTCTATTTTTAATCCTGTCTACAGTTTCTAATCTCTTCAAATTCCACATCTTCAGCCCACTTAACTAACATGCTGTTCACTCTTCTTATAGATCATTAGTATTTCCACAGGGATACTCACTAAGCAGAATGTCACCTAACATACCTCTCTAAACTACTAAAAGTTCTTAAAAGTTCTGTAGTGAAGAGTTATTATATATGCTTTATCTCAAAACACATCATAAGCGTCACTGACCCAAGAATGTCTTAAACTCTAATCTAAATTAAAACAATAAAAAAAAGTTTCCAACACCAGAATTTCCTCCAGTCTGAAGGAAATTTTCCTGACAGCTGCATGCTTGGGCACTTTAGGGAGGAAAAGTTTTATAGGACATCATCTCCCTTTCCACAGACAGCAGCCACACAAAACCTCATCAGGTAACACAACTGTGTGCCACCTCCCGCCCACCTTTCTGCAGTAAACTTGGCTTTTCATCTCTCTGGATTCCCAGTATTTTTTGAGAGTATACCAACTTCAAGATCCAGATTTCAAGAACTTACTTCTCAAGAGGTGAACATGTAGTATAGTATTCATTTTGCAACGTAACACCTGACATTACTCCCTCCACACAGAAGAACTTCATCACAGAGATGACGGCTCTCAAATTCTGAACTAGCAAACATTCATACAGCCATTCTCCATTCAAATTTCTACCTCCAAAACAATCGCTTGCCTGTACAAAGAACTTCCTCTGACAAGGACATTTTTAAGAAGGTCTAAGTCAGGAATATAAACAGAGAAAAGTCCCTCACTTTCTTTGTATTTCCTTTGAATTTGACCTATTAGCTTCTCTGGTTTCCCCATCACTCAATCTTAAAATTCAGGATTTCTTGTTCATCATATCCTTGAGACATTAAAGCATAGAATTAGCTTCAGACTGTCTCAGATTTTACGTTCTTTAATGTTATGGTTAATATCCTATTTGCTGTTTACTCCAATGCACCAAAGAGAACAATTACTTGTCAATTTAGCTACTGTAAACTTCTGCTTAGCTTTATAAGCCACACATTTACAATGATCAGTGAAAAGTTAATAGTACCGTAGAGACAGTATGAGGTGGACTAAAAAAAAGAATAACTATATAATTCTATTACTGTAGCACAGACATAGGTTATACAATAACTTTTTTGTTGATTCTGTTTATAAATTTAGGGATGGCAACACATAGGAAGTATATTTGCCTAAAAAAAAAAAAAAAAAAAAAAAACAAAACAGAACTGATATTATAAAGAAAAAAACCCAACATAACTATTGTTTATAAGACAAAACAATGGAATGCATTTGGCTCTCATACATGACCTCATGTTAAAAGATTACATTGAAGTCCATACCTGGTGTTGAGAGGATTTGAGATAAAGATACTAAAAACAGTATCCCACTTTATTCAGTTATTTTTGTTAAAAGAATAAGAGTTGATGTGCTTATCATTGTGGCCAGAAAAACAGAACAAAACCAGGCGACTTCTCAGCTCTAATTATTACCCTACTACTATAGTCCAAAATCTCCAGAGATGCAGCCATCTGATACACTTAGATTAAAAACTTTCTTCTAGCCAGCTGTTAGTGAAAAGCATTTGTTTTATTTTGGAAATCTAAGACTATTATGAAATTGTCTTCTTTGCCTTTTTTTTTAAAAAAAAAAAAAACCATACAGTTCTAACTTGCATTATGTAATGCAAGCTATTCTCCCATTACAGAAAAAGTATGGATTAGATTTTTGCTTTAGTAGTAACAAGAACAAAAAAGTTATTTTGGTGTTCAAAGCAATGAGCGTTAAAGACTCAATACCTCTTGAAAGCCTAAGATCATGAACACATGACACAATCAGAATTCAGACATACAAATTTTCCCAGACTGATTTTGCTTATTTGCTTTACAGCACAAAATTTCAAGACTATCTTAGATTCTATTTTGAAAAATGCAATCATATTCCATCAAAATTACAGTAGCAGAAGTATTAAAATCCTTGCTCTGGAGCCTGGACAACAATTGCCTCTTGTGTATCTACCTGCTGGTTCTGGCTCTTGCAGGCTAAACAAAACCAAATTAAAAAACACTTCAGCCAAGCCTTACCTCGCTGTGGACATTCCAACTGTCAAGTGTTACATTAAAAAGAGCCTTTAGTGCCTCGATGGCACAATCTGTCTCTTGCAAAGACAGAGGAGGCCTGTCGCCATCTTCCGCTGCTTTATATTCTGCCGCCCATCTTACGCTCAGGGAACTTTCCAAAGCCTGAGTCAAAACCTGCACACCTTGTAGTTCCTGACGCAACTGTGATCTGATATCTGTGTGCAGAAGTGACAAGAGGAAGAGGAGACGCAAATCAAAGCATTTAATGTCATCAACGAACTGCTGGTCCTTGCATTTTTCCAGAAGACTGCAGAGCATAGCTGCAAGATTCAGTTCCAAACTGAGCTTCTGTGCAACAGCACTATTAAAAATTATGTTACAGAGGCATTTTAAAGCTTCTACTATAACAGGAAATTCAGACACTCTCTCCAAAGGTTCTTCTACAGTGTCCAGCTTTGCTAGCCTCATAAGGATCTGCATGTTCCTCTTTGTGGTTACAGGCACTAAAACCTTCTTGTCCCTGGAGAGAATCCGGAGGGCCTCCAGACAGGCAACTTGACATGAAGTTTCTGTGTCTTTTTCAAGGACATTCAGAATTCCCTCACACAGTTTCTATGCAAACACAAACAAACGAAAAAGGAACAGTTTTAGCACCAAAATATTGGGGGTGATAGGAAACTAATTCTGCTAATTATGCTTCCATATAACTTTTACGTTTTCAGCTGACTTGACTTGAGAAACTAGGTACTCCATGCTACTTCTTCAAGATACAAACTATTACAGAAGACCTCTGAAGATCATAAAAAGTGATTTTCCTCATGGATGCAAACCAAATACATGAACACTGGCAAAAGCTTTAAGCCAAAAAGGCAGCTGCTATCCACCACTGCCAGTTAAGTTTTCTCAGTATTCAGGACTATAAACTTGAGCAGTCAGAGTAACAAAGCTAGAGAGAAGTGAAAGGTTTTAAAAACATATCCGAGTACAACAGTCACACCTCCAGTACCTGCAAAATTATAAATTCAGGTTGTTTCAGTATGGAGGCCGGAAGAAAAGAAACTAAATCAAAATAACCGCTGCTCAACATATACAAGTATTAGTACTCCGTGTTTGGTAACAGCTCTAATTTGTGTTGCCACTTCAACCTAATCTACAGGCTTCTCTCATCTTAAGTAAGAGTCTTAGAAATGTTATCTCTGACACAGAATGTAATGCAGGTTTTTTGGAAGACTTAGGCTGTTGCAGTTTTACCAAACCGGTAAAAGAGCTGCTTTGTCAACACAGGCTGTTCTTGAATTCAAAATGTTTCACTGATACTTTATACCAACAGGACTGCAAGGGTAAACATTAATCATATACATGCAGCATGAGAAAATATAACACTCCAATCTGCACTACAGAAGAATTACCTTTTATAAGATGGAAACGGACAACCAGATCAATAAAAAGGAAGAAAAAAACAGGGTAGAAGAGATTGCTTAATGGGAGAGAACTCCATAGGAGTACTACTCGCAGGTACCAGAGCCAGAAGTATAATTACAACGAAGTTCCCAAATGAGCGGCAATACAAACTGCATTGTACCTCACAGGACACAGTTCCAGCCCACTTCTCACCCCCAAGCTTTGTGTCTTGACCACTGATAGGAATAAATTCCCAAAGAAGCCAGAGTAGCAACTGGGTTGAATAGCCCTAGAACAAAAGTCAGCTTAGGACCTGAAATTCTAAGTCTAATTAGGACCTGGTCTTAGGCAGTATATGTCAATAAGAAATTAATTTAAAAAAAAAAAATAAACAACAAAACCCCCCCCAAACAACAACATAGGGATAGCAGTAAAGTAAAAAATAGTCCTAGAGGAATGGTCTCTGGAATTGCGCTTTGTACCACCACTATGACAAAAAGGTGGAGAACACAGCAGCCCATCACCCACTGTGACTCCAAGTTCAAAAGAAAAGCTCCATTTGGGACATCCAAGCAAGTTTTTTTAGTGTGATCACTTACAATTAAACACAAACAAACAAACAAGGTTATGTCTACAGCAAATCTAAAACAGACGCCCTAGAAGAATAAGGGAAAAACAACACAAGTCTTCAACAACGTTAAAAGAAGACCTGTAAAAAAAGTCAGACAGTAGGAAATCAGTAAGAAATCACAATAGGATTTCTAGTATGCTTGTCCTGGCGTGAAGTCCACTCAAAAGCACCACCCAGACAACCAGGAGCTTAACTGCATCTCCACAGCCCTGACTAGACGAATCCACTAAGAGTTTGAAAACAACGAGGGAGCTTCCCCTCCTATGAACACACAGGCAATGTGAGAAACCCTTATCAGAATATTAGTGCAACAGTATAAATCCCACATTTGACCACCTGTACAAGTACACAGGTACTTACTGTGGGAATTTCATATTAAAGAACCTGGAAAAAGATATTAAAGCACAGTTTTCAGAGTTCTCCAGTACAATACTAACACTGCTCCCCCACAGATCTTACAACCCCCAACTTGATCACAGTATGTTAGACTTGCACTAAATGTTTCTGAAGTGTTTTATAAAAAACATCTAGGAAACAAAAAAATGGCCAAGCTAAATCCACACCCAAAATATCTGGTCACAGGCTCAACTTCTTAGAAGAATTTTGTTTCTATTGTCAAGAAAGTTTTCCATACAATTAACTTTGCTTTGCAACCTGAAGTGGTGGAGTCTGTTTGGTTCTGAGGAGTAACACAGAACTGAATGGCCAGTTCCAAGAACTCCAGGAAAAGGCCAGTTCATTCTATTTCTTGTTTAAGCACATTCCTATTAGAATTAGACTTAGCAGTTAGTCTTCCTTGTTGCCATCAGGTGATACAAGGTGGTCTGTAATAATGTACCCAAATTCAGCAACTGGTTCAGGAACTGGACTCTCCCTCTCTTCAGGACCTGTGTAGCAGTACCAAACCCAAGAAGCCTTCCCCAAACCAGGATGCTGAAGGAACACTTGAAAGTCATACCGGGCCAGACTGCCTTACCAGTAAAAAAATGCCGCACAAAACCTCACCTGATTTCTCATTAACAGTGCTGGGGGTTTCATCTAGGGCTTTAAATAGTGAGGATCACTTCATAAATTACTTAATCTGATCAGTACCCACAGAAATTAAGGGGAGCTGACACTCATTAACAGCAGAGCCTATGCACATCTTGTGTCTGGAGCTCTGGTCTTTCAACTCAGCCTGATAAAACCTGAACACTCATTTGACTACAAAGAGACCAATCATCACAAATTCAGACTGATCCTTTTTTTTTATCTTCCATAAGTTGCACCCACCTGCTGCTATGGAAGCGTCACTGGAAAACGTCAAAAGCACTGCAGGGAAGATCCCAAAGGGCACTAAACTCCCACTGACTTACCATGGGAGGTGAAAGTCTAACCCTCCTTCCATACTTTTGAAGACCATCCTTGCAATTTAATTAGAGACCGTAAAAGCCATCATCTCATGGCTTCAAATCTTAGTGAAATACAGCAACAGAAGACTCTTCACTCTGAGCAGCTATACTAAAGATAGGTACTAAGTAGAACACATGCGAGTTTTTTTGAGATTAAGCAACCTATCTACAACTAAAAAAATCCAAACCATTGGTGTGCTTGTAAGGTGCTTCATTTCCCACATGTTCCTGAAACCTTAGCTGTGTGACATATTTCACAATATATGCAAGGCAAGAGTTTCTTTTTCAAAGCATTAATTATATAGTCTTATGCATACTACACCAACAACTAAGCCACTACACGCTTAGGAACAGCTTACTAAGATTCCTACTCATTACAGCAAAATACAATTCTGTTAAAACTCACCTAAGCAAAAAACACCTTGTTGGAACTGCTGCCAAATGTCGCTGGAGTTAAACCTTGGTGACTGATCAAGAGTGATTTTAAAGGAAGCAGCATTCAGTTACAACACTGCCACTTGCAATACTGCCAAAAACTGTGACAGTAAACCACTGCTGACTGACCTCTAAGGCCAGTAGGAGCTTCAGGGAAAAAAAAAGAGCATCTGATTAGAGTTATCCATGGTAAATTTTGAAGCAAGGAAACAAAAATTCATCCTATTAGGAAACTGGCTTGGATACAACTAAAACCAAATGCCATACAGCACAATTTCTGCTTTCTCCTTGATGGTGTGATAGAGGTGATGTGTAGAGAGAAGATAAACATGAAGGGATGTGACCACAAAAATATCATATCCTTTTCATTTTCTTTTGGTGGTGCTTTTTCCACCACCCTGCAGCCCATTAACATGGCATAAACTAAGGGGCACAGATGTTATTTATTTGGTTGGAAATGAAAGCAAGTGAAAGAATTCAGACAGCAAGGTACCTCCCCTTTCACAAAATACATAACAATTGTCCTAGTTTCAGGGTTTTATTGCTGTCCCCTAAATTAGTGAATGAACTCGACATTTCTTTTTTTTTGAGTTCTATCCTTTCAACATTCAGAAGGGTGTTTGACTTTCATCAGTCACGCTTCAGCAAGAAGTGTTTTTCATATACTTTTCCACAGAATCAAGGCAGTTTCTGTAGTCTTTTCTAAAATTGTATTCATGTCTTTAAAATTCAAGAACTCTCAACTTTTGTGCTAATAAGGTTGAAACTGAGCAATACACACAATTCCTTTTGCCTGTGCTCTACTGGAATAATGGTAAAACAGATTTGAAATTTTATTGCGTGTTAAAACAGGAAACTTAGAAACACCCACTTGTTATCTTGTCTTGACAAGCATAATATTAATCCACTTTGGTCCTTTATAGCATGAATGCTTGATGCTAAGAAGCAACACTGTAGAGCTCCTATATAAAGTCCTATAGAAAAAAATCAACATCCCGAGACAGAAGAGAGCTGCATTTTCTTCCTTGCCCAGACACAGATCTGTTCTGGCTTTGGTTAAAAAGGTATCATCTCTTTACTTGCATTTTCTTTCACCATCTTTGTTTAAAGGCTAATTAGATTGAGGGGGATGAGAGGGCAGTACTGTAAGTTTTTATTAGCAGGTGCTTGTATTTTCCAGGCTAAACCTCAGCTGGGGATACTAGGTGCTTGTGAAAAATAAGGTACTTCATGATCTTGCTCTTTGGTCTTGGGATGCCTGAATGTGAGGTCCTTTTCCACCTCCTCTCCTTGTGTTTGAAGATGTTGAGAAAGCACACTTGACCTATATTCACTTTTTTTCAATTCACAGACCACTGAACTTTGGCTATGTTATGTCAGCTGAATTTACTGTAGCTTCCTAACACCAGAGTAATAAATGTCTTCGTGATAAAAGGAGACAATTTCCTTTTATTTGCTTCTTCCTCTTGGACAAATCATTCTCTTTACTTATACAGGCCTTGGGATTAGAGCAGGAATAAGAGAATATAGTCTTCATTCTGCAAGCATTCAAACCCAAGCAAACACCACTGCTTTACTGAATATAGCTTTAATTTAGACATAGATTACTCAGTGCTAGAGAAGCTGCAATTCAAAGTTGAACAAAAGTTCTGTATCTTTGGCCCCATCAAGCATTATGTGCTAGAGCACACCATTTATTTAGGAGAATGGGAACATCACAAGCAGTACCAGGTCATGCTTTCCTTTTCCTGCACTGGCTGAAGTCCCTCTAGTTCACTTTGTCTTCTGACCCATGTTTTTCATCATTGTCACGTTTCAATTTTAATTAAATTATCTCTAGGGGTTCAAGAGAAGTATATTCTGGATTTAATTCAAGCTAGTTCTGCAGCTTTTCAAGGGCCAGAATAGTTCATGAAATCACTTGTAGTGCCAAGCACAAAGTTCACAAGAAACTGTAGTTCCCCAACAGATCATATAAGTCTGCTGTTGTTTATCCCATCTGTACTGCTATCTATTCCTCAAACTCACCTTCTGCTTTACTACAAACACGAAGATTCATACCATACTCTATCGAGTTTTCAGGTAGATGAAAGGAATGCTAGTAGTAACCACAGGAAACTGCACATGAATTTTTACTTCGCCTCTTAAATTTCTGTGGCTCTCAAAGGTATTCAGAAGCTTCTCTTAAAACCCAAGTCCCTCTCCACCTCATATAAGACAAAATTAAGCATTTTACATGTTTCTTGTATTTTCAGTAGACTATGCAAATCAGCGTCGCAGAAAACTAAAAGGAAACTATGTTTTTGGCAGGTCAGAGAAAAGAGATACCAGGAGCAAAGAGACATAGCTTAGAATTGCTGAATAAGAACTTCGGCTGATCACTTTCGCTAACAGGAACAGCATTAAAAGAATAAAATTACTACTTTACTCTGCTATTGGGTTTCAGAGTTAGGCATCCGAGGCAGTGAGAAAATAAGCCCAAGAGTATTTGAAACACTAGTTCAAGCTTTCATTTTCTCTGGACATGAAGATCACATTTATAACCAACTCTGTTGAATAACGGGACAATCAGGTAACCTCCTCTGAAAAGGCCGTGCCAAATTTTTGCCTGCTCTGTGTGGACGGATGTGTTCAGGGAGGGAAGGTGCAACTTGTACTCCTTGAGGGTTCAGTCTGCTTCACCTCCAAACTTCAGCCCCCATGGGCAGCTGGAGGTTGGCCTGTCGGGCAGGAGGCTGCCAGCCCCGGGGCAGCAGAGGCCCACACTGCAGGTTTGAAGATGGGAGAGCTCAGACGAGACGTCGCTCTCTCAGCAGCCCTCCTTGCCCTTCCCACTGAACAGGGAGAGGGAGAACCCTCCATAACCTCTGCAGCCCAGTGGTGAAAGAAGGGTGTTAAAAGGAGAGATGGGTTTCACTGGCTTGACTTAAACCTTAAGAGATGTAAAAAACAGAAAAATGCTGGAAGGGAGCAGGCAGGACCAGAGGGAATTTGAACAAATGCTTATTAGTAATGGAGGACACTTAGTAACTTTTCTTTTGCAGCCTGGTACTCCATTAAGGGGTTTCAGTAAGGTTAGAACAATAACAACAATTAATGCTAAGATACCACACAGTGTGCCCACAGGAACACTTAAGCTTCATATTTTTATAGGACACTAACAGACTTTAGAAGCTTGCAACAAAGTTACTAGGAGGAGAAGTGTTCTGTGCCTTTGTGGCTGCAGGAACCTTCAGGCCTCCCAGAAGTGCCAGTGTCAGCAGCACTATTTGATAATGAGGTTCCTTTGAGATTTAGAACGTGACACCATCTTGCTCCATCAATATAATTTATTGCTTCCATCCTTCTAATGTTCAAATATGATACAGTCTACAGCCTTAAGGAAACTCTCCACATTATGAATTTAATTAGGAGAGAAAGTCCCACAATATATTTGATGACTAACCATCATCTATTGAAACACATTTAAAAGCACATTCAGCAACGCAGGGGAAAAGACTGTTTTGGTGATTTTCTTCCCACTAAAGGAGGCCTTGAATTTTAGATCCACTATGTTCACAGTGAACCTGAACAATGAATCAAGAAAACTGATCCCAAACTTTAAAGCTTTATGTAACAGGATTGACCCAAAACAGTAAGCCGGCGCCAGTGGAGTAGATGCTGCAAGTACTACAAGAGGTGAAGCCAACAAAATGCAAGGAGGTGAAGAGGAAGCACATCTGGCATGAACACCCTACCGCTCCAGGTAACAATACAGCTTACGAGCACTGCTCTTACATTTGGTTGCTTGCTTTTTTTACCCTTCCTCCCCCAAACTCAACACCTTCATCCAAATAACAACATCAGTATTGCTTGCTATCGTAGACAGATTTACTTTCTCTGTTATGTCCCCTGGGCAAATGGTGCTGTAGCTCCTTCCAGTTGTGAACTGCCATGGCTAACTAGGGAATCAGTACCGACAGATGTTTCCAGGACACACAAAGTGCTGTGATCTCCTTACTGTTTAAGTCTGTGAACAGCACAGACATGTTCCTACTTCAGAAGGGGGATCTGGACATCTTAAGGTGCAAGTAATGGAGAATAGAGCTATTAAATGATGTGAAAGTGGTTCTGAACAAAACTTTCCTTTTTGTATTAGGACATATGAGGCTTGAGTTGAAGTGCCCACTGTGCCACATTGAGAGGAGACAATATGCCCAACACCTCTCTCCAAAGAGACTTCTCAGTCAAGTTACCAGATGTTCATCTTCTGGAGTTGATTCCAGTATAGACCTAAAGAACCAACTGTTTGTGCCAGCCATGCCATGCTGCTGTGCAGTGCTGCAGTTCTAAAGACTCAACCATTTCCAGCAAAACACTGTCAAGAACTTCTTGGCATCCTGAGGCAAATATTTCAGATTTCTAAGAGCTGATTAAGCTCCTCTGAAGCAATCACACTGCCTCAATTTCAGCTGCTATTCCAGGACATATTTATCGCTGGTTGGCGATTTCTATACTGTGTGTTTACACACACAAACTGAAAACAGGCTTTCAGAAAATCTTTTTTTATCCTTATATGACAACAAGGAATGGCACCAACTTGATCTGCCTGGTATCCAAGCAGATCTTACAGCGCAACACAGATTGCCAGCTGATTTATACCCATAACTCCCATCACACAGGCCACTGCAGACACATCACACAGCATTAAACAAAACAACCAGGACAAGTAACAGCTCATGTTTCAGTCTTGTGTTTTTTATCATCCTCTGATGAATTAAAGTCCTCTGGCTATGTCCAGATAGACAAGCTTGATAGCATTACATCTCTTCCTGCTTTCTAGAGGACACAACCTAGTTTCTTCCCAGAGTTCAGTATTACAAACTCACTGCTGGTTTAGTTGGTTTGCAGCCTAAATTACCATGATTTGACAGCCATGTTACAGCAGAATAACTTTGTTGTCTGATTTATGCAGCTTCTGCAGTTAAGTCATAATTTTGACCTTTTGGTCTTTCATAATTTTAGTGTGTCACTGTTGTATGTGGCTTGTCCTCTCCCTAGCAGTATCCAACCTAGAAAAGCATAAAGCACAGTTATGCCTGTGTTACAATACGATTACACTACAGACACAACCTTGCAGTACACATAACTGATGGTTTTGTAAGTGCAAAGGCCAGAGAGACTTACCATCCCACCTATTCCTACCAGAAGACTTAATATCTGAAAATATTTAGATTTTGCACAAAATCATGGAACGAATCGTTGTGTGTCTAATTTGAGACAAGCTATCTTTGTAGGATTCTTTCAATTCTAATGTCAAGCTTTGAGTTTGTGTCTGAAATAGGAGAAACATGCAGCCCCATTCACCAATGAACATCTTCTGAATAAATATGCAGATCAGCCCAAAAACCAATTAAGAAAAAAAAGCAAGGGTCTTGTCATTCCATATTACACCAAAAAAATAACTACAGGGAAAAGAAAAAAAAAAGAAAAAGAACTGATATATCAACATGCAAGCTTTAAATGCGAGGCTGTGGGTGGACCTCACAGGAGGAGCCAAGCCCTGACCCCCCTGTACAGCTCTGTGCTGCAACACACCAACACTCCCCACCCTTGGAGCCCAACACACACAGGATGCATCCTGCAGCTACTTGGGGGTTAACAGGCTCCTGTAGCTCTGTCACCCTTACAGCCCCACAGGTTTCTTCTGTTCTCATCCCTTCATCTTAATCCCTAATATTCTTTTAAGTAACTAACATGCAAGAAATACACCTGTGATATTGCTTCCTGTACACCTTTGATATTGCTTCCTGCGGAGAGAAAATGGAAAAATGAATCGCAAAATTTTTATCTCAGTAGATACAAAAGAGTATGTTTATTTCTGCAATCCATCCCAAAGCTGTAGCAAACAATATTATTTATAGGCTTTTCTGTTACCACTTTTATTTGGGGGGGGGAGGGTAAAGAGGTTTTTCTAGGGGAATTTGCTTTTCTCTTTCAGAAAAAAGGTGAACAGGTAGTTGTTAAGTCTCTTGCACGTAAGAGCAAAAAACAAAACAGAACTTTAGAGTCACTACTTGCACCATTTCACAATGGCACCTAAATTAAGAAGCTGCTTTTACTTTTCTACACGTCTAACCAGAGCAAGTATGCAGCTCAACAGCCAATTTAATTACCTTTCTGTTGTCTTCATCTGCTGGATCAAACCTGAAAATGGTCCGGTTCTGTAAAAAAAACACGAGTTTGTGCACGTTACATGAACATCAGCTTCCAAGAGTGTAATACCTGCAAAACTGTTATAAAACTTTAGGAGTCTGGTTAAAACTAGCCTCAGATAATGAGGTCAGCTCATGTCTTTTTCCCCATTCTACCCAACAGCAAGAGCTTCATTAAGTGGCTCCAGCTAACAATTTCACAATTACTACTGGTGCAGAGCCAGCTTTTACTTGTGGGCTGTGGTTCTGATGTGAGTTCACAACCTCAGAGGCAGAACTTCACAAGGTAGCTGCAGCCTTTGGACTCTTCCCCAAGCACTTCTTGTTTACAAGCTTTTGACCGCACTTTAAAGGGTCCCAAACCAGAACAACTGTAGTATAACCTTGCCCAGAAAACAAATAACACAAATCAGATAAGCCTTTCTACAAAAAAACTATTCGTTTCCATATTGTGGCAACTTCCAAAGCACGTGTCCGAGATATTTGTTTCTCTGGCACAGTTAAACACAAGATAGACATGGTCTATCAAGTACTTATTTAGTGTTAAATGTTTCAAAGAGTGAGTCTAGTTCTATGTTATCACCCTGAATTATGTTATTAGTGAGATATTACTCATAGGACACAAAGTTTATTCTGCCAAAGAAAACAGCAGTAATATTAGACAGTTATTTTACTGACATTTTAAAGCTTCCAAGTTAAATGATTAGGTATGATGAACAGCTTTTAACAATACAAAAATCTCAATTTCTGCTACTTCTAATACACAACTTGCTACATCACGCAAGTGACTGATGAACAATAGTGACCCTCCCTAGTACATCAGTGGGCCTCTTACCTTTCGTGAGGTACATGCCCACAACTACACAGAAGGGCCTGGGACATCTACCCTACCATCAGGGGTTACCACTATCGGTTAGGTCCTTGGGATGGTAGGAAAATAATTCCCTTCCTTTCTCTTACAGGATTTCACTTACTGAAACCACACAAGTTCAGCAAAATGCCAACCAAAAGCAAATGAGCATTAAAGGATGAGCAACTGAATCAGAGAAGGCAACACAAAGTTTTGGGGAAATTTTCAAAGGAAATGTAGTGAAAGTGAGTAGTCTAAGCACTGGAGGAACAGAGATTCGGAGTGATCATTGCAAACGGGACAGCAAAGAGGAGCAAGAACAGACCTACTAATTTATTTCATTATAGATCTTCTGTAGGCACCTGCACTTTAGAACCATGCTTAATCCATCCCTTCTCTGCAATTAAAGCATACTTAATTTGTTATTTGGGGAAAAAAATAGGGAAACAAAGCCCAGAAGAGGCATGGGTAAGGATATTGAACCTGGAGTACTCTGACCAGTATTTGCTGGCCCACAGGCAACATATTTGAGTTAGCAACACGTTGAACAGAAGGAGAGATGTAGGAAACATTAAAGCAAACATTTTAGCAGGAAACACAGTAAGAAAAATGCCATATTAAGTCAGTATTAAAAGATTCCCATTTCAAAAGAAGTTATTTAGCTACACACATAATTCCAATTCTTCATTCAAGGACTTGAAATGCCAGAATAGAAAACACACCAGTTCTCCCTCTGTCCTTGAGAATCCAACTTAAGCCTAAACAACTGATCTGGGCAAGCTGCTGAGAAGGCATAAAACCCAGCACAGCAAAATTTAGAAATTATGTTTGTGTGTGCTTTTTAACTGAACTCATTTAACAAAGGGTCACCTTCAAGAGTCAAGACAGGAGATAAAAGGCTCCCTCAGAATCTTTCCTCTGTACCTCAGAAGTCACCAAGTTAAAACAGTTAGATTTGTCTAATGAATTCTAGTTCTACCAGTCCTTCAGAAAAAGTGCCCCACAGCTGCATCAGTCTCTACATTTGAATTTCATGTGCATAAAAGCAGCCTAGATCTAGGCTGTTGCTCAAGCTTCTTCTAGAAGCTTAAGTTCGAGCAAAGATACCAGTTACTGCCATCGTTAGATTTCAAATGTATTGCATTTTAAGACAGCAAACTTCAAGCTATTTCTTGGAGGCTGAAGAATATCCACACACCAAGGCACATTCATTTTGCTTTTCCCCTAATCACAGAGCTAGGAATCTTTAACTAAAAAGTTGAGTTTTTGTTCTTGTAACAGATACCTAAATTTCAGCAGATAGTTAGTCCAACACAACTGCATAAATCACATCCAAAGCCAAACACTGAATCAGTACCAGCTTTAGGGACTTGTGCACCAGTCACAGAAGTGCCTACACAAAGCACAGGCGTGGGTTGAGACATGATTTTTAGAAATGGACTATACTGCTCTACCAAAATCTAGGTGTCAAAACGTCCCTGTCAAATGGAGGGGAAAAGAATTACAATAATCTAACTAAGATCTAGCTTCACTCCAACTACTGCTTCCCAACATTACCATTAAAACCCTTTATTTCTTGACTTATCATGCATATACCACGCTGTTATAGCAGTAGACACTAGCTATTCTTTAGAGCCCATCGACACTAAAAGCTCAACCTGCCGAAACTCTACTTTTGGCTGTCTTGCCTTCTCGCTTTGCTTGGCCAGAAACGCAGAACAATCAGGTGGGGTCTGGCGTTGGACATGCGCCCCCTCCCACCGCAAAGCTCCAGCTCTGCACCTCGACACGGTGCCCCTGCTGCAGGGACACAGAGGCCTCTCTCACCACGCTCCAGCTACAGCTGGCGACACGGGTCCCACCGAGCGGGCTCCACCGGGCGGACCACCCCAGCGCCCAGCCAG